TGACAGGACCTAGTATAATCTTGGATCATGCTTGTCTTAAAGGGATGCCACCATTGTGACATATTCCTGAGCATCTGTACCTGACCCACATGGGCTAGCCCATGTGCCTCAGATAAAGCCGCTCGTGAGAGGTCCCCCACGGGCAGGGCGGGGCGGCCATCAGGGCCGTACCAGATGCCAGTATCTGGATCCTTCTTTGCCCGTTTTTGAACCCACATGGATATTTCTTCAGGAGCTGCTTTTGTTTGGGCCTCAGCCAAAACCTGAAGGGATAGATCGGGCAGGCAGTCTGCCAGGTCTGGCCCCTCGTCCCGAACCACAAACACTCCTGGAGTACTGACCTTGTAGTTGGCAGCTTTCTTTGCGGCCTCATCCGCCGCCTCGTTTCCCCTGGCCTCAAAGTTGTCTGACTTGGAGTGCCCTTGGCACTTGATGACGCTTACCTGTTTTGGAAGCTGGAGAGCGCTGTCCAGCCTCTCCACCAGGGCTCTATGTGTGATGGGTCGGCCTTTAGCAGTCAAGAAGCCGTTTCTTTTCCACTCGGAGAGGTTGAAATGGACAGCCTCAGGTGTCCCAGAAAATCCAACCAGGGTGATGTGCTCCTCAGAGAGCAGGACAGGGCGTATCTTTGTATTGATGGTAGAGTAGGTGGCGCCAGTGTCCACCAGGGCCATCAGGTTGTCGTCCTCCACCTCGCCCCAGTAGTTCCCATGCTGGGAATATTGTCCATCTCTCGGGGCCAGGTTGTCATTCGGAGCCGTCCATGGGAAGGGAGGGCCTGCGCGCTCTGGTCTGGGTCCCATGCCTCTCTGGGGGCCCCTCCCACGCACCATCTCAGGCGCTCCATGGTAGTAGGAGGCCTCTCCTTCAAAGGGGCAGTCCTTCGCCCAGTGACCGTGCCTGTAACAGAGCCGACACACATCCCTGCCCCCTCTCCAGCTTCCACCCCTTCTTCCTCCCCGGCCCCCACGCCCACCACCTCTGGCCCCTCCCCTTGTCCAGTCCTGTCGTGGTGGAGTGGGAAGTCCAGCAGGCATATTAGTCATCTGATTACTAGTTCCTTTTTTATTTTGGGTGGCTTTATTTCTCGCTTCACTAAGCTGTAACTTCAAAAGTTGACAAGTCATATCTTCAACACTCTTTCTTTCTTTAGTTTTATTTTCAACATATCGCTTAATGTGAAAGATTAAATTTGTTTTCCACTGTGCTGAATCCGGGTTAATATTATCTGGGTTGTCTTCAATCTTTGAGCGTATTGTTTCTGGTAAACCATTCAAAATAGCTGCTCTAAAAGGCATGACTTCACTGACCTTGTGAGGGTGTCTTCCTACTGTGTCCATCCACTTGGTCACACTCCTGTCATAAAATACAAGTGGGTCCTCAGACTCCAGCCAAGTTAACTCACGAGGGGCAGAAGACAGCGGAGTTGGAAAGTTTTCCCTCAGTGCTTCATACCAGGCATTTGCATATTGGCCAAATCTGGAAGAATCACAAACATCAGCAGTACCAGCTTGTCTTTCAATAGCATCTCTCTCCCATGGTTTACTGCATGCTGCCATCACTGCCCGGACGTCACCCATCGCGACATCATGACCTGTAAACCATGTGTTCAGACTGGAAATCCAGTTTCCAGCTCCCTGACACAATGGAGGCATTTTGTCTTTTATAGTCTGCATGTCACTTACAGAAAAAGGATGGTACTCCCCAGCTGCGCCTCGTCCTGGTCTCAGAGGGAACATGGATTTTGTCTGAGACCTGGTTCTGCTTGCCACCGGTCTAGTTTCTCCAGGCTCCTGGTCTCCGTCATCACTACTGTCAGAAGAGAATTTAGCTCCTTTTTTAGCCTGTTTAGCTTTAAGTACTGGTGGGGCCATGGCACCGTCTCCCTTGTCACTTTCACTGTCCGTCCTAGTCATGGCTCGGCGTGCGGCTTTATTAATTAATTTTGCATTCTCCTGTCTAGCGGTCTCGTAATCATGGGTCCTACTTGCGGTTTCTTCTCTCTCAACTCTGTCTGTGGTGCATTCAAAGGTCGGTTTCCTAGCTCTAATATTTCTGAGAGAGTGCAGGAGCTCCTCTTGAATAGATGGGGGTTGGTGAGGGGTGTGTGGGAGCTGTGGCGGGAGGCTGACAGCTGGATTTTGACTCGGATCTCTATTGTCCCCCACAGACTCCTCTTCTGTCCCTTCGTCAAATTCACTGTCTACAAAGTCATTGTCCCCTCTCTTTCTTACCGCCACTTCTCCTGAAAATGTATATTGTGGCAATATTAGATTTGGCTTACCTGGTTCTAAACCTAGAGAGTACTTTGGTGGAGCCGTGGGTAGGGATGGGTATATATTACTCACCGGCATTGCTCCGTTTTCTGTTTCCTTGTCTTTACTTACCATCGGTAATTTTGCCAACGCCGTGGCAGCCAAAGCAAAATTATGTACCTTGGTCCTCAGTTTCTCAGCCTTTTTTAGTTTCTTTTTAATTTTTCTACGCTCATTCCAACTCTCTCCTTGCTTTCCCTCAAGCTCAAGTTTATCCTGTTTTAAATTATTTTCCTCTTCCCGCAATATCTTAGCCAATGCGGACGCTGTCATATACTCAGGTATGACCCTTTTGTTCTGTATTTTTTCCCATGCTTTCACAGCCTTTCGTTTTGCCTTGTTCCTATATTTTTTATCCAGACCACTCAGAATCTGAGCCTCTATTTCTCTATATAGCTGCTCGATTGGAATGCCTGTCTCCATTTTTCGGGGGGGCCCAAAATTCCCCCAGGTTCCAATGGGTTTAAACCTAACTTGTGTGTTGACGCGTCCGTCAACCACGCTAGTCACAGCGGGCTTTCCTGTTTCTGGCAAGGCTTCTCAAAAAATCTTTACTTTTAATATATTCTCGCAGGGTTCTAACTACTTTTTAGGCTTTTACTATTTTTACTTTTTGAATTAGCTCCTCCGTGGACAAAACTTCTCTCCCCTTAATTTGTTTAGTCCAATATGCAGATTTTTAATTAGTCAAAAGGTATCTGCTTTAGAGCCCTGCACTTGAGCCCTTGGCCCGAGGGCCCCGACGGCCCGACAGCCCGAGGGCCGGGCTTCGGGCCGATGACCGCATAATGACCTCGGACACGGGCCGGGCTCGGGCTCTTCATTTTCAGAGCGGCAGAATAGATTTACGAGCGCACCCACTGAATATAGCGTTCTATCACGCTGTAGTGTTTGTTGTTCTGTGTAGTGTTGTCATTGACGGCACATAGCATTACTTATGTAATGTGCAGATGTGTTGCAGCATCGGGGGCATCATACAGATGCGGCCGTTCACTCTGCACCACTCCGCACACACAGAACTCATTGCAACACATCACTACCATGTATAACTCCGCCCTCTAGCTAAGTCTGCGTTCATATCAGTGCGCGGCACTATATACTACGCTAAAACATTGTTATGGGAGGTTACAAAAAAAAAAAAAAGGCGGGCTTGATGCGGGTTTCGGGCTTGAAAATTCAGAAACCATATCGGGCCGGGCCGGGCTGGGGCGCCACCCCCTCGGGCCAGGGCCGGGCTCGGGCCCAGATAATAGGCCCGTGCAGGGCTCTAATCTGCTTACCTTCAGTTCAGCGGCCGCTTTGAGGAGAGACGCAGAGTCCAAGGGAAGGCGAAAAGTCATCAAAGGGATCACGTCGAGGGTCACCAATTATCGTATTAAAAAATGACGTGTTCAAAATCCCTTATAAAGATGACCAGGATTCAGAAAGTTAAATTCAAAAAAGGTTTATTTCCCTAATACAAAAGAATCTAACACAACGACCTGGACCAACTTTAACTATCCCTTATTCCCTATATAAAGTATAAAGTATGACTTTGGTGGGCGCTCCACGCAAAGTCACACTGCTGTCCCTGATCCAGTTTAGTCTAAAAAACAAGCATGAGGTTATTTAAGCAAATGTGCATGAAGAAGGGGGCGTGTCGTTTCTCTCGGGTCCCGGGTCCGGCCTCCATCATGTCTTCTCCGTCTCGCCAGACCTAGACATAATCATTCACACACTCCCCCTCCCCAGCCTATAGATTTATTGGTTCCTTTGAGATAAGGCAGAAAGCTCTCCTTCTTTCACAACTTGAAAAGATTAGCAGAATCCCCCCAGATTAACTATCATTAACTCACCCATGCACTTTGGACAAAATGGGACAAGGGGAGTAGGGCAATACAAGGTCTTTCTTTTTGCTTGGAGACAGACAGAGTTCAATTTCAGGTCAATCTAATTCACATCGCCTTTTAGCCTATATTTAATACAACACATGTCAACTTGGAGAAATGTGTTTTGAGTGTAAATATGTGACGCACTATTTGGCCCAAAGAGGAAGAATGCAGCTTGACTTTGTCCACGAGGATCTGCCTCTGTTTGAATGAATTTGTTCATCTGCGACTCTAAGATTTTTCTATAACTACATCATGGAACTGGACTGACTCAAAAGCTGATCTGGAAACCAATGTTCCCACAATAAAAAACGCTAACACGTTGTATGGTGTGTATCACTCACTCAATTATGGTGTGTATCAATCACTCAATTATCACACATGTGCATAGGATGGACTGTGAAACATGAAGAAGAGCGCAATATGGAACCTTTAATTTATTGTACCAAAGAAACTCTTGGCCACTTGAAGTCTTTGGCCCGATGTGGGGGTTTGTGAAGTCTTTTGTCCCCAAAAGGATTATTGTTTATTGTTTACATGTAAATAAGGATGGTCTTTGCAGCATGTGGATGTGGATGTGTTTTCTCCTTAATAAAGCCATGCCTGCTAGATAGTGTTTGGAGCAGAAGAGTGATGGCCGGCTTCAACCACATCTTCTCCTTGCCTTGCAAGTAAAAACTACACTTCTGTCTGTTTGTGTGCTTTTTCCAGGTTTAAACTGTAGCTAGAACTAGCATTAACACACTACACCCTTTTGTCTTTATGTCCGTTTGGTTTGTGTCCTTTAATATTTACAATCTATGGTTGTTCCATAGTGATGGGGGACAAGGCCCCAGAGGGACTGCACTACGTGGGGGAACTGGAGGATCTGATCTCTGCCAAACGGACAGTGGTGACTGTGGAAGGACGGGACATTCTCATCATCCACCATCAGGGGGAGTTCTACGCCATCGACACCTACTGCTACCGTCAGTTCCTCCGTCTGTGCAGCCTGTGCATTAACTGCTAACCCATCGAAGGTCTCATTGTCAAGTTAGGCTCCAACTCGCTCTGGCTTCGATTAACTTACATGTAAATAACAAAGGAAGGTTGCCATCATCTGTTCTTTAGTTAGCAGGTTTTCCCGACATTTCGTCTTTATTCCAAGGAACTTTTTCAAGGGAATGAAAGCTCAGCCGCGAGTTGGAGATTTATAACCTGTGGGTGTGGTTAGACACCCCATAATCCTGAGGCTAACTCATTAACACATCTAAGGTCTGTTAAGATGTGGTAGGGAGGTCTAACCACTCCTAACTTATTAGCACGTCAATGACCTTATCTATACTGTATGTAATGGTCGAGACTATGAATTAAAGAAATGTTACCAGCAATGCCACCCAGTATTGACCAGATGCATCAACGTCATCCAGTCACGTGATTGTGAATGAGATTACGGCGGAAGTATTGGAAACTAGCATTGCTGCGAGAGCAAAACGGACACAACTCTTAAAAACGGAGCTTCCTCTCCTAAATCCAGAAGTGGCTGCTTCAAGCACATGTTCGAATACGTTATAGATGGAAGTAGGACATCAGGTCAGGGCTCACAAAGAGTGGTATTTGGAGAAGTTAAGGATTGCCTAACTGGATGTTGACCCGTACCTTCTCCCCACAGTCAATTTTATCGATTCAATAAAATGTCTATTTTTGCCCGAATTCACCCTACATGATCTTTATCATTATCGTTAACAATGCATCCCCTTAAACTGGGGCAGATTTATATGTACATTTTGCTGGTAGCATTAGCAATAGTCCACTTTTCTGTGGCTTTTCTGTCTACAGCCAAACATGATACGTACTGACGGAGAGGAAAATAGTGAAACACGCAATTGACTTAAAAGATAAAAATGTCAATGTTGCAGCGCACATACAGGACAGTAGTAAGAGACACGTTTGACGTGTGTCATTGTCCTCCAAATTAATGGAAATAAAATAAATACAAACTTGTGATTGCTTTATCTTGTAAAAAGTGTTCACTTCACATTAGGGAGTACTTGGATGGGTCCCAGTCCTTTTTGGTTGATTGCCGCTGGCCATCGTCGTCTTCTGTCTTCATGACGAGCAGGTATCAGATAAAAAAGCTTATGTCCTTGCCTGTTAGTATAATCAACCGCACTGCAAAATGTCACAGTTTTGGCTGTAATGCGCTGAAACAGGTTGTTTTGGTCAGGTGTCCGTAGGCTCCAGTTAGACTTCTGCCGTCTGTCATGGAGAGTGGGCGTGGCCAGGACGTCACATGCAAGGGGTAAATATGGGCACTGGGACCCGTTAAAGACAGTAATGAGTGACCACATCGTGGACTGATGTGGACAGGAGGCAACATAGTACAAAAATACAGTTTATTTTGGACAGTTTTCAAAAAGAGACAGTTTCTGTATTTCATTCAACGACGTCAGAATCCACTCCATTCTCCCTATAAACTCAAGTGTTATTTTTGATTGGCCACACTAGTAAGCCATTGCTCCACGCAGCAGTAGTCCCCTAGAGCACAGCGCATTCCAGGCCCAAGCGCCTCCAAACGGACCCACGCGCCTCCGTGGCCCTGCACTGAGGGTAAGGACTGGCTGGGCGAGAAACGCGTTTTCGTTTCACATGAGCTACTGATATTGTTGCTTTCACCGTGCCTTCAAAAGTGTACATAACTGTGGAGGACCACAGTTATGTAAAAGAACCATGGAGGACCAAAGTTATGTAAAAGAACCATGGAGGACCACATTTATGTAAAAGAACAACCCGAACAACAATCTTTTAGAATTTTTTTTTTTTCCCCGACGTTTTGTCTTTCATCTAAAGGACTTTTTTCAAGGGAATGAATTCTCAGACCGCGCGTTGGAGATGTATAACCTATGGGTGTGGTTAGCCACACCCTAATCCTCATGCTAACTCATTAACAAACTAAGGTCTGTTTGATGTAGAAGGGAGCAGGTCTAACGACCCTGCTATGGCTAACGACCCCTTTTGTCTGCAGAGATTGCTCGAGTGGAGTGCAGGTCTCCCTACTCCTAACTTATTGGCATGTCACTGATCTTATCTATAGTTAGGGCGTTGTTTTTAGGACGTCGTCATAGATGCAAGGCAAAAATTGGTTTGAGAGAGGGGTGAAAGAAGCCATTTTTGTGAGGAAGCACAAACCTTCTCTTAACAGAGGAGGTGGGTTAAGATTTGTTTTGCCTCGCAAAGCAATATTTATTTCTTTTTATTTAAACTTTAAGAAAACTCATATACGCACATGATCCATTGATATATTAAGAATAAAAGAGCACACAATTACATATTTACAACCGTTCATCCATGACTTGTGAGTATTGTCTTTGGTCTATTATAAAGGCTGCGCAAGATTTCTTTTGGAAAATACAGTTGAGCTCCACAAAACGAGTCCAATAATCCTTAGAATAAGTAAAATGTCCCTTTCCGTTCCTTTGGCTATGCATGCTGCCTGCTTTCTGCTGTTTTTTCAACTTTAGCATTGAAACAAAAAATCAAATATCAAGCCAATTTTTCGTCTTTCCTTCTCATCAAAATGAAATATGAAAATTCAAGCCATTTTTAGATATTTCATTTTCAATTTTAATTTGAAAAAAACATTGAAATCCATACCCTAAACCTCCATATCAGGATCAACCGTCTTCCTCATGCTGGTGTTCTAAGGACAAGTTCAACTCCGTGAACCTGTGTTTGTTCACTGTCTTTTCTTTCTCCAGATGCCGGGTCGTCATTGCAGAACGGAGACATTGAGGTAAAATCATAAAAACTGAAGACCAGACCCAGGACCTGATTGAGACCGCGTTCAGACCGGATCATGCATTGCGTCGACTTTCAATGCAAAGTCAATGGTGACGCGCGTTCGAGCGTCGAACTGCATGTGCGTCTCGGGTTATACGCACGGACTGCGCGGCAAAGGCGTGGCAGAGGCGCAGGAGCGGAATATCGACGCACGCAGGAGATAAACATTACTGAACGTTTCCTCGGGACGCTCGTGCAGCGACCAATCAGAGAGCCGCAAAGTGGTCACGGGGACATTAGCGGTCTGAGCGAGCAGACTGAACATACTCGTAAACAGCTAAATGGGAGACTCTTGTGAACAAATGCGTCCTCTTGCTCTCGTGACTGTATGTGCTATGCGCAAGCACCGTTTAATAATAAAATAAATGTATTAGCGCACCTCCGTGAACACATACTGCTGTTATATAAAGTCTCTGGAAGGTCTCTGAACACAGAGATGCTGCAGAGCGTCTTTATTAGAGAAGAACTTTACACAAAAAGCCGCTAGCTTTACTCCTTTAGCATCAAAGTCCGCCCGCTACTTCTGCCACTGGCAGGCGCCACCGCAGGCCAGGACTTCTGGTCTGAAGACCCCTGCGTCTGGTATTTAGAGAATGTGCGTCTGGTGCGCGAGGCATCAGCGTTCCAGCGTCGACGTCTGGACCAGTGGGGGAGGGTCCCAGCTCAAAAGTGGCCAAAATGACGTGCGCTGACATGCTTGCAATACCACCCCGGGCCGATGGGGGTGGACCCAGAAGTAGAATTAGCCAATGCTAACATATAGCATTGGCAGACCTCTCGAAAACGTCTTTACAGGATGGACCAAAAGTTGGCTCTTGGCCCAAAGCTCCGTTCCACATGTGTGTCAATGCTGAGGGGGGTGAATTTTTTTGGTCCACTCTAGTTTACTTGCTGTGAATTTTTGGAGTCTCTCGTTCAAAGAATGGAGTTGCGCCGGCTGACGCATGCGCAGATGCGTTTTTTCACAATTTTCTTGTGGGCGGGACCACTCGCGGCCATTTTGGATTGCGCCAGTAGAGCACATTTTTTGGCCCATTAGTTAGAACGGCAGAGATAGGCGTGACTCTGTCCATTAATATATACAGTCTATGGTCTGGACGCGGCATGAGACTGTAGACCAGACCTAGGACGTGTATGAGACCGTAGACCAGACCCAGGACCTGTATGAGACTGTAGACCAGACCCAGGACCTGTATGAGACTGTAGACCAGACCCAGGACCTGTATGAGACTGTAGACCAGACCCAGGACCTGTATGAGACTGTAGACCAGACCCAGGACCTGTATGAGACTGTAGACCAGACCCAGGACCTGTATGAGACTGTAGACCAGACTAAGGACCTGTGTGAGACTGTAGACCAGACTAAGGACCTGTGTGAGACTGCAAACCAGTCCCAGGACCTATATCTCAGAGAAAAGAAGGAGATTTCTGGGGGAATGTGTATGGAGGCGTAGGGGAAGACCCAGGACACACTGAAGGGACTATAACTGACCATGCCCCATTTGTCTAACCCTGCCTCTCTCTCTGACCCCGCCCCTGCTCTCTTCTCCCAGGAGCTGGACCGTAAGCTGTGCATCATTTGTCCCAAACACAAGTTTCGGATTGGTCTCCGGGAGGGGGAGGGGCTGTACCGGGGGCGGGACCGGAGCTGGCACTCCAAAGGGGTGAAGCAGCGCGTGCACAAGCTGCACCTCCATCAGGGGGCGGTCTACCTACACCTGTCAACCGCGGCCTGGACAGAGTCTGACTACTACCAGGGAGATAAAGGCAGGGCTGCTCGGGAAAGGCTGGAGAGGGAGGGAGGGGCTGAAGAGGCAGGGGCGGAGGAGGGAAGGAGTGACTGAGGAGGAAGGAGCTGAGTAGGGAGGGAGGCTGAAGAGGGAAGGAGAGACTGAGGAGGGAGGGGGGCTGAAGAGGGAAGGAGGGACTGAGGCGGACAGAGGAGGAGCTAAGGACAAGCTGTGAGCATAATTGACCCCTCCTGTCCCTACCCCTCACCGTGTCTCCAGTTGCAGCATGTTATAAGAACAATTACAAAAGAGAGTGTCATTCTTCATTAAACATGTTTACACTTACACTCTCCTGCCTGTGCACTGCATCACTGGAATGTCTCCTGTTTGGGACAAATAAAGGTTCTCTAATTCAAAGGCGGGTGTATACTCGCGCGTCACTGTGGCGTTTGCGCTGGACCCATGGTTGATTACGCAGCCACAGTAGTTTGTATACTTGGGCGTACCCCCGTGCGTGGTTTTGAAGAGATTGTTGTATTCCCACATCCCAACCAATGATGGTGATCTCGCAGGATTTGTCTGGGATACTAAAGGAGTCCCATTATAAAGGTCTGCTGGATACTTTCTCCTTCAGAAAAAAAAAAACAATGGCAAACCAAGCTGTTTGAGATCGATGAAGAGATTCTCTGAATCTCATTAAATATGTATTCTAGGCTTAAATTTACTGTATGTGACAGTCAGTGTTGGGTAAGTTACTTTGAAAATGTAATTAGTTACAAATTACTAGTTACTTCTAAAAAAAGTAATTAGTTAGTTACTTTCTTGGGGCTGTAACTAAGTAATGTAAGTTACATTACTTTTGGATTACTTCGTGTCACAAAAAAGAGAACAGAATCAAGTTTGTATGTTTGCTTTATTAAAGCCATTTAAATAAAGGTCAACAACAAATCAAAACTGGCTCAAATGGCATAACATTAACGAAAGTAAATTACTATAGCAGCCAGGACAATTAAATTAAGGCAGTTTAGTCATCAAGACTACTGGCTGGTAGTGCAAAAAAAACATTTTTAAATAATAAAATAAAACTATTTAAACAACAACAACCTGAGTTTCATTTTAACATATCAAAAGTGCAGAAAGGAACAGTTTAACTGTTTAACAACTAACTCTAATGTTGTTGTTTTTCAAAGTAATGGTTGTACCTGAGTAGCAATAGTTTCTCAAATCGTTTAGCTGACAACCTATTCCTTCTTGGAGTTTCTGAAAGACGGCGACTCTACAGTAGAAATGGGCAGCATCTCTTCTACAACGTACGCCGCTACAAGTCTATTTATTTCAGTCTTTGAGGTTACCTGACAGCGTAATTCAAGTCGAGCTTGCTTATTATATCGTGTTGGTGTTGTGCTGTCGGAGGAGGAGGAGGAGGAGGCGGCGGCGGCTTCGCTGCGACGCTCTTTAGCGACTAGCTTAACAGTTGAGTGTTGACGCTGCAAGTGTTTTAAAAGGTTCGAGGATGAGTTGGCTGCGGTGGACAATCGCTTGCTGCCCGCGCAAAGCTTGCACTCCACGACAACGTTTTTATCTTTTTGACTGATGTAGTTGAAATAGTGTGCATATCTCCACCGGTAAAAAGAACTCTTCTCCTCTGACTCTGCCATGTTGCTTTACAAACAATCTCGCTCATGTGCGCAGCGTGACGTAAGCACGCAGGCACGCATGGAGCGGTAGTGCAGTTCTCCCCTGCTTTCCCGAGGCCGGTGCCGCCGGTAACGAAGTATTTAGGTAGTAACTGTAATATAATGAAACGTATTTTCATAATAACGCGTTACACTACTACGTTACTCAAATTGTAATTTCGTTACAGTAACGCGTTACTTAGTAACGCGTTACTTAGTAACGCGTTACACCCAACACTGGTGACAGTATAATAGACTCATTGTTTCATAACTCATTTCAACTGCGATGCTGATGATGGAATAAAGACACAGCTCTTGTTGGAAATATAGTTATTATTACATTACATTTGTGCACAAACAAGCAAAACAATAAGTGATAAATATCTGAGACTAAGCATGAACTATACAAGTTCAAGTGCAGGATCAATGGAACAAGGTGCAGATGCAATGAGCTATGTACAAGTGCAGATTCAAACAAAGAGAGGCACAGAAATAGTGCAAAAGAAATGACTGTACAGTATATAAATGATTGATATCAGGCTAGTTAGCCATGAGCCTTGTATCAGAATCAGAATAGTTTTTACTGCCATATAAGTAACAGGAAGTCACAGATTAAGAAATTGCTTTGGCTCTCGGTGCAACAGTCAGAAAAGAGAGGTAAAAGCAGTGGGGGCGGGTTTCGGCTCAAAAGTGGCCAAAATGACGTGCGCTGACATGCTTGCAAAACCACCCCGGGCCGATGGGGGTGGACCCAGAAGTAGAATTGGCCAATGCTAACATATAGCATTGGCAGACCTCTCGAAAACGTCTTTACAGGATGGTCCAAAAGTTGGCTCTTGGCCCAAAGCTCCGTTCCACATGTGTGTCAATGCTGAGGGGGGTGAATTCTTTTGGACCACTCTAGGTTACTCGCTGTGAATTTTTGAAGTCTCTCGTTCAAATGACGCATGCGCAGATGCGTTTTTTCACAATTTTCTTGTGGGTGGGACCACTCGCGGCCATTTTGGATAGCTCCAGTAGAGCACATTTTTTGGTCCATTAGTTAGAACGGCGGAGATAGGCGTGACTCTGTCCGTTTATATATACAGTCTATGGGTAAAAGAATAAAGAGTAAGGCATAATAAAAATCAGCATTCACTCCTAAGGTATAAAAATTAAAATAGAAATAATACGATTAAAAAAGTGTGACTGTAGTGGGTCGGTTAGAACCCAATGATGAGTCTGGTGGTTGAATAATGATGGTTTAGAGATGGTTTTCCATCACATGCTCATTACCCATAATGCTTTGCGCCAACGCCATTTTGTTTGTCTGGCTTATATTGAACGGATCATTTGGCATGGATAATTTGTCACGGATCATTTGTCCCCATGTCATCTAAAGCCACGAATTTGGCCGACGCTGACCGCGTTAAGTATATTGATACACTGGAGTAATCTGTGAGGCAAGATCCTTGGAGAAATTAAGAATTACTCCCAGGTTCCACTGGATTGGTCAGGGGGGTCAGCCAGGAGCAAGCCAGCCCCCATGGAGGGGGGGACATGGACATCAGATCATGGGGAAAATCCATACCAACACCTGGGCTACAGAGGCAAGGCAAGTTTATTTATATAGCACAATTCATACACAAGGCAATTCAAAGTGCTGAACAAAACAAGAAAGCATTAAAATCATAAATTATCACAGAACATTAAAAAGAAAGATAAAAATATAAAATCCCTCAGTTGTATGCACAGTTAAAGAGAACTGTCTTTAACCTGGTTTTAAACATTGTCAGAGAGGAGGCCTGTCTCACATCTTCAGGAAGACTGTTCCAGATTTTAGCAGCATGAATCTGAAAAGCAGCCTCCCCATGTTTAGTTCTGACTCTGGGCACTAACAGGAGTCCAGTCCCTGTGCTCCTCAGAGTCCGGGCTGGTTCGTATGGGACTAACATGTCACTAATATATTTTGGTGCGAGGCCATGGAGAGACTTGTACACAAGCAGAGCTGTTTTAAAGTCTATTCTCTGAGCCACAGGAAGCCAGTGCAGAGACCTGAGAACTGGACTAATGTGGTCGTACTTCCTGGTTCTAGTCAGGACTCGAGCTGCTGCATTTTGAATGTACTGCAGCTGTTTTACAGCCTGTTCGGACAGACCTGTGAGCAGGCCATTGCAGTAGTCTAACCTACTGGAGACAAATGCATGGATAAGAATCTCCAGGTCTGCTTTAGACACTATGTTTTTGATCCTGGCAATGTTTTTTAGATGGTAAAAAGCTGCTGATGTTACTGATTTGATGTGGCTATTAAAATTTAAGTCTGAGTCCAGTATTACCCCTAGATTTCTGACCTTGTTTGAAGGTTTTAGGGAGAGAGACTGTAGATGACAGATGACGCTCTCTCTTTGTTTCTGGGGACCAAAGACAATCATTTCAGTTTTGTCTGCGTTTAGCTGAAGGAAGTTGTTTTGCATCCACTCACTGATCTGTTGGATACAGTGAAGGAGTGAGTCCACTGGTCCATGTTCTCCTGCAGTCAGTGAGACATAGATCTGAGTGTCGTCTGCATAGTTGTGATAGGAAACTTCGTTTCTGCATATTAACTGACCTAACGGCAGCATGTAGAGATTGAACAGAAGAGGTCCCAGGATCGACCCCTGTGGGACTCCACAGGTCAGGGCCATATGATCTGAGACACAGTTTCCAATCTCCACAAAGTACTTCCTGTCTTCAAGGTAAGACCCAAACCAACTTAGGGCGGTGCCAGTGACGCCAACCCAGTCCTCTAGTCTCTGTAAGAGGATCTCATGGTCGACGGTGTCAAAGGCAGCACTTAGATCTAACAAGATTAAGATTGAGACTTTGCCTGCGTCAGTGTTCAGCCGGATATCGTTTGTAACCTTAACAAGAGCAGTCTCAGTGCTGTGGTGGGGTCTAAAGCCGGACTGAAACATATCAAATGAGTTGTTGATTATAAGAAATCTAGTAAGCTGTAGGTAGACAACTTTCTCAAGGACTTTCCCCATAAATGGCAGATTTGAGATGGGACGATAGTTGTTAAGTACCGTAGCATCGAGACTGCGCTTTTTTAGCAGGGGCCTGATGACTGCAGTTTTCAGGGCCTTTGGGAATATTCCAGAATGAAGGGACATGTTTACTATCTGTGTGAGTGAAGGTAACAGACTGCTCAGAACAGACTTCAGAAATCTAGTGGGTAGTACATCCAAGCTGCATGTGGAGGAGCTCAAACTGGAGATTATCTCTTGGACAGTTTTATCATTTACAGGTGCAAAGTGAGTTAGCTCAGAGAGCCTTTCTGGCTGTTGGATGGTTATCTGTGGATTGGAGACAATGGCGTTTTTGATGCCTTGAACCTTGTCATTGAAAAAATTAGCAAACTCATTGCATTTACGTTTGGAAGTAAGCTCTAATGGCATTTGAACAGGGGGGTTTGTTAAT